TTTAAATTTCAGAATATTATGGGGGTACCAACATTTTGGTTATGTATATTGCCTTTGCATCACCCAAGCCAGAGCTACAAGCATGTCCATCCCCCAGACAGTGTGCTCCGCACCCATTTGTTATAAATTTACCCATCTCCTCCACCCCTCTCCCACCTGCCCAGCACCCAAGAAATATTACTTCCATGTGTGCACATAAATGTTGATCAGTTAGTGCCAATTTGATGGTGAGTACATGTGGTGCTTGTTTTTGCATTCTTGGGATACTTCACTTAGTAGAATGGGCTCCAGCTCTATCCATGATAATACAAGAGGTGCTAGTTCACCATTGATTTTTATGGTTGAGTAGTACTCCATGGCATACATATACGTTTTATTAATCCACTCATGTATTGATGGGCACTTGGGTTGTTTCCACATCTTTGCAATTGTTAATTGTGCTGCCATAAACATTCGAGTGCAGATGTCTTTATTATAAAATGATTTTTTTCCTTTGGGTAGATGCCTAGTAGTGGGATTCCTGGATCAAATGGTAGTTCTATTTTTAGTTCTTTAAGATATCTCCATATTACCTTTCATAGAGGTTGTACTAATTTGCAGTCCCACCAGCAGTGTAAGAGTGTTCCTATCTCTCTGCATCCATGCCAGAATTTGTTGTTTTGGGACTTTTTGATAAAAGCCATTCTCACTGGAGTAAAGTGATATTTCATTGTGGTTTTGATTTGCATTTCCCTGATGATTAGAGATGTTGAGCAATTTTTTACATGTTTGCTGTCCATTATTCTGTCTTCTTTTGCAAAATTTCTGTTCATGTCCTTTGCCCACTTTTTAATGGTTTTTTTTTTATTTTTTTCTTGTTAATTTTCTTAAGTTCTATATAGATTCTAGTTATCAGCCCTTTATCAGATGTGTAGCATGCAAATATTTTCTCCCATTCTGTAGGTTGTCTATTTGCTCTGATGATAGTTTCCTTGGCTGTGAAGAAGCTTTTAAATTTGATCAGGTCCCAATCATTGATTTTTGTTGCTGCTGTGATTCCTCTGGGGGTCTTCTTCATAAATTCTTTGACTAGGCTAATGTCTGTAAGAGTTTTCCCAATATTTTCTTCTAGAATTCTTATGGTTTCATGTCTTAGGTTTAAGTCTGTTATCCATCGTGAGTTGATTTTTGTGAGAGGTGAGAGCTGCAGATCCAGTTTCAATCTTCTGCATGTGGCTATCCAATTCCCCTCCCCAGCATTGTTTATTGAATAGCGATTCTTTTCCCGAATGTATATTTTTGTCTGCTTTGTCAAAGATTAGATGACAACATGAGGATGGTTTTATGTCTGGGTTCTCAGTCCTGTTCCAAAGGTATATATCTGTGTTCTTGTGCCAGTACCATGATGTTTTGGTTACTATAGCATTGTAGAATAGCTTGAAGTCTGGTAGACTGATGCCTCCCAATTTTTTCTTTTTGTTTAAGATTGCTTTGGCTACATGGGGTCTCCTCTGGTTCCATACAAAGTGTAGAATTATTTTTTCTAGATCTGTGAAAAATGATGTTGGTATTTTCATAGGGATTGCATTGATTCTGTAGATCATGTAGTATATACATTTTAACAATATCGATTCTGCCGATCCATGAGCATAGTAGGATTTTCCAACTGTTTACATCCTCTGCAGTTTCTTTTCTCAGTGTTTTGTAGTTCTCCCTTTAGAGATCTCTCACCTCCTTAGTTAAATATATTCCTAAATATTTAATTTTCTTTGATGCTATTGTGAAAGGTGTTGCATCTTTGCTTTGATTTTTAGCTTGACTGTTATTGGCATATATGAAAGCTACTGATTTGTGCGTCCTGAGACTTTGCTGAATTCATTTATCAATCCCAGGAGTCTCTTGGTGTAATTTTTCTGGTTTTCTAGATATAATATCATATCATCAGCAAGGAGTAAAAGTTTGACCTTTTCTTCCCCCATTTGGGTACCCTTGGTTTTCCACTCTTGTCTGATTACTCTGGCTAGGACTTCCAGTGCTGTGTTGACTAGAAGTGGAAATAGTGGGCAACCTTGTCTGGTTCCTGTTTTAAGCAGGAATGGTTTCAATTTTTCCCCATTCAGTATGATGTTGGCTGTGGGTTTATCGTATATGGCTTTAACAATGTTGAGGTATGACCCATCTATGCCTTTTTGTTAAGAGTCTTTATTGTAAAAGTGTGCTGAATTTTCTCAAATGCTTTTTCTGTGTCTATTGAGAGGATCATATGGTCTTTCTTCTTGCTTTTATTTATATGGTGATTTATATTTGTAGATTTGCATATGTTGAACCACGCTTGCATCTCTAGGATGAAACCCACCTGGTCATGATGAATTATTTTTTTGATGTGCGGTTGAATTTGGTTTGCTAAGATTTTATTGAGAATTTTTGCATTTATATTCATAAGGGATATTGGTCTGTAGTTTTCTTTTTTTGTTGTGTCCTTTCGTGGCTTTGGTATCAAGGTGATATTGGCTTTGTAGAATGAGTTGGGGAGGATTCCATCCTTTTCAATGTTGTGGAATAATTTCTGCAGTGTAGGTAGTAGTTCTTCTTTGTAGGTTTGGTAAAATTCGGTTGTGAACCCATCTGGTCTGGGACTTTTTTTTATTGAAAGATTTGTTTATTGCTGCTTCAAATTCAGTGTTTAATATTGGACTGTTCAGGAATTCTATTTCTTCCTGATTGAGTCTAGGGAGGTTGTGTGTTTCTAGGAATTTGTCCATTTCCTCCATATTTTCAAGTTTTGGGGCATAGAGATTTTTATAGTATTCAAAGATGATGTTTTGTATTTCCATGATAGCTGTTGTGACCTCTCCATTCTCATTTCTAATTGAGCTTATTCAAGGAACTGGAAAAGGAAGAGCAAACCAATCCTAAACCAACCAGAAGGAAAGAAATAACTAAGATCAGAGCAGAACTAAATGAAATCGAGAAAAAAAAGAACTGTATAGAAGATTAATAAAACCAAAAGTTGGTTCTTTGAAAAGATAAACAAAATTGACAGCCCTCTTGTTAGAGGGCTAGATTGACCAGAAGTAGAAAGGAAAGGACTCATTAAATAAGTTCATTCCCTTTTAAACTGTTTCTCAAGGCTATCTGGATAAGAAATGGGTCCATCTTTTTCACTGAAAATTTGTAATGGCCACTTGCTTAGTCTCTAAAGAGGTTTCTAAAAATTAGAAAGTAGTTCTTAGCAGGATTTCATTAAATTCTTAGCCAAGTGCATTCCTATTTTTTCTGTGAATGAGGTTTTGAGGTGGGAGATAGCAAGAACTTGTCCTCTAATCACTGATGAAAGGAAAGGGAGGCTAGAAGTCTTGAAGATAAACTTTGCTCACTCTCACCATTTGATTTAAGGATGGATCTATTCTATCTGTTAGAGGCAGCCACGCCTTTTCATTTTTAAATTCTTTATAGATTTGGACATCATCTCAGTTTCCTCCTAGGTCATTCAAATTAGAAATATGGTTTCCTAATGGGTACATGCAGCAAGTGGGTAAGGTGATAATGGAAGTATGTTTCACTGGCAAACATTTCAATTCACTAAAAGAAAAAAAGAAATACGGTTTAGTAAATTAAATGATAACAACATCCAATGCAGAACAATTTGGAAATACTTTGGCATGTATAATAATGGTGTTTTACCTCCAGGGAAAAGAAGACAAACATTAATTGAATGCCAAACATGTACCAGGGCTTCTCACGTTATTTTCTTAATACCCAACTGCCTACATGACACCACCACTCAGCTGTCTAATAGACACCTGCTTGTCTTTCCTTTCAAATCCACTCATCTCATTGTCTTCCTCGTCTCAGTTAATGGTAATTATACCATTTCATGCGCTCAAAATTTGGAGTCATCCTTAATGTCCCTACATCTCACATCCAACCCATCTATAAATACTTTTGCTTTACTTTTAAATATATCTGGAATCAGACTATTTTTTAACATCTCCTGTCCTAGTCCAAGCTACCTGGATTATTGCAATAGTCTAATAGCTATTTCCTACTTTTGCTCATGCCCTTGTCTCTTCATTGCACCTGGAGTAATGCTTTTAAAACTCAAGACAGATCATGTCATGTCTCTCCCTCTTGCCCAGAGTACAAGCAATCACCTACAAAGCTCCTATAAAATTTTTGTCTTTCCACAAACCTCATCTGCTCACTCTGGTTCAGCCACCCTAGCCTCTTTGTTATTTCTTAAGGTCACACCTCAGGGCTTTTGCACTTGATGTAACTTCTGCCTTGACCACCCTTCCCCCTCATCTACTTGAGGTCTTTGCTCAAATATTGCTTTTTTCTATGAGAAAATGAATTCCCTCCCCCTACATACAAATACACAAACACAAAGTAATTTCTACTCTCATTATCTGTTTTACTTTTTCTTCACAGCACTTGTCACCATCTGACATACATTTTGTTTGTTTTATCTATTTCTCTGCACTAGAATATAAACCCACTAAAGAAGGGATTTCTATTTTGCTCACTGCTAATACCTTAGTGTCTAAGAGTGCATAGCACAAGGTATGTACTCTGTAAATACTTATTAAATGAATAAATTAATTCTATCAACAGGAGATGGTTACTATTATTCTCATTTCAGATGAGGAAAAAACTGCCATCACAACTACCACCAGTAAAAAGAAAGAAACTAAACAAATAAACAAAAAATAAGTACAATGAGGTTAAATAACTTTCTCAGACTGTTTTTAAACATTAACATTTTTAAAATGTCCCCCAATGGGAGACTGTTCAAATAAGCTACAATATATCAAAATAACGGAATAATATGTACCTATAAAGAATAATGAGAACTTTTTTTATATTCTGATATGGAATGATCTCCAAGTCGTGTTGTTAACTGAGGTATAGAAGATGTATCATATGCTACCATTTGTTTAAAAATCAAGAAACAAATATGCATTTGCTAGTGTGTCCATAGCCCAAATCTGGAGGGAGACACAAGAAACGTTGACTGAAACCGGGTGGCTCAAATGTATAAGATGTAGGAGGGAGTCTTGTCCCTCTATGACCATTTGTACCTTTCACATTTTGAACCATCTGGATATGCTACTTACTCAAAAATAAAATAAAAACAATAACTTGCCTAAAGTCAGACTGCCTGAATTAAAATTTCATTTTCTTTCTACATACCGACTCATAGAGAATATGGCAGAACCAACCCATTTCGTTTTTCTAGTGGGTTGAATTTTTGTAAGTCATCTCAAATGTATAAGATGTAAAGCGATATTGATTTTGAGCCAATTTTTCAGTGGAGTTAATACCAATAATGTTAATAGTACAAGGAATCACTATGTATACCTTTCTTGGTCTGCTGAAATAATTTCTTTTTTCTCCACAGCTGCTGGCTGGCAATTCCAGAAAGCAATGATTTTATAAGAAGTCCATCATTGTGGTCATTCTTTGTACCTATAACTATTATCCTCATCGGCAATGTTGCTATGTTTATAATAATCACAGTCAAAGTGCTGTGGAAGAATAATCAGAATCTGACAAGGTAAGATTCCCAGTGGATGGGAAGCTTCCAGGCAAGACTCATTCAGCACATAATACAGGACCATAATACATCTATAGTTCCTAGAAGAATTTTCAAACTCAGACAATGGCAGGAGTATGTGTTTTGCAGGAGAGATTTTCTCTTAAATTTTGACTCAGAAAGTAGATCTTTTCATATTCTAACATCAGTACAGTCAGCCCTCTGTATATTTGATTTCTACATCTGTAGATTCAACCACAAGAGGATCAAAAATATTCATAAAAAATAATAAAAAATAACTATGACAATAAAAATAACACCAATAAAATATAATGGAACAACTATTTACAAAGCATTTACATTTTATTAGGTATTATAAATGATCTAGACATGATTTAAAGAATATGGGAGGATGTGCATAGATTATATGCAAATACTACACCATTTTATAAAAGGGACTTGAGCATCCTCAGATTTTGGTATCCGCAGAGGTCCTGGAACCAATCCCCCTTGGATGCCGAGGGATAACTGTACTACAATGTGGGTATACTACGTTACATAACACATTTTGTATTATATGAGCCCAACTAAAAACCCAAAGACTTCAAGAAAAAATTTTCTCTCTGACCCCAAATATTCAAGAAATCATATTTGAATAATTAAAGAAATGAGAGGGCTGTGAGGAGATGCTGGTACCTGTATTTTCATTTTACAAACCAGTACCTGTAGGCTATGTTTTACACGTACTGCTTAAATTATACAATGGGTTTAACATTTTTTTAATTAGTGGAAAACATACAAAAATTTGGAAATTTCACTTGAAAATTGAATCTTCTCTTGAAAAACATAGAATATCTGGCAACACTGAGCCCACATTCCCTCTATATGGGGCATATGTTCCCTGGTTTTCTGGTTCTCATCTAGACTGCTTCTCTCCTTTCTATAACCCTTCTGGCCCCCAAAAGCATCTTTATTGTCATCCCTGATATTACAGGAGCTTTTTACTTGGACAGACTAAAGAACAGAAACTATTAAACACATATACTCTGTCCCTCCTAACCCCATCTCCATATCACAAATTGGTTAGAACGCAGTGATAATGAGGATATGAGTTTAGATTTAATTTTACAAGACTGCTCATATTTTAAGTAGACTTACTATAAGCAGGCACATCTGTGAGCTTACAGTAAGCTCACAAATATATCCACTTAGCATGAACAGATGAGTGCAAACCATCATCATTAGGGGGAATTTAACCTTAAATATGTGCTTTAAAGATCAAGTGTAAATATCATTTTTTCTATATGAATGATAGGGGAAATATGGAGAAAATGCTATCACTGATAAATGTTAAAATCTGTGTTTTAGCAGCAATGCAGAAAGACCTTGGTGAAGGCTTCTTAGCCTAATTTCAAATTAGGTTATATTTCCTTTATATAAAACAGTATCATTTTTAGCCACAGACACCAACCAAATTTGTATTTTGAAATTTTGATGGATAGGTCATGCTTCTTAAATTGGCCTAATTATGATGAAAAGTGTGCTATAATTTAATTGTTCAACAAATGGCCTTCCATGTATCAGTTAGCTATATAGCACATCACCTTAATGTCATGAGTTTGAGTCTTGGTTGGGTAGTTGTTTGGTACCAGCTGACTCAAATAATGCCGATGGATGATCTAGGATGACTCACTTTCGTGTCTGGCAATTGGTGGTTGGCTGGTCTTAGTAGTAACTTCTCTGTTGAGAAAGTTCATCTCTGTTCCATGCAGCCTGTTATCCCCCATTGGGCCAGCCCAGGTTTCTCAGGGTTCTAAAGAACAGTGAGAGAAGGCAAATTCTAATGAGTTTCAAGTCTTTCAAGTCTCTGCTTGTGACATTTGCTAATATCCCACCAGTCAAAGTAAGTCACATGACCAAGACCAGATTCCAGGGGTATAGACTTTCCATGAGAGGGAAGATGATCACTCTGCAGCTAAATAATCTTTCTCTACCATATCAACCCAAGGCGTAGGAAGACCCTAGATGTCAAAAAAAAAAAAAAATTCCTCACTGGCTGATCTGTAGTAATACTCAATTAAAATTTCATTCCAATGAAAAAGTTGATTCTTAGTGAAATTTGCCTGTGGTAGTATTAAGGAACTGTTTTTGCCTGAGCTTTTAAAGAGGTATCAATGTATTTTTTTAATTTCAATAGATTTAGGGGGTACAAATTGAATTCCATTACATGTGTATATTGCATAGCGGTGAAGTCTGGACATTTGGTGTACCCATTACCTGAATGGTGTATATTGTACCCAATAGGTAATGTATTTTAAAATAAAGCTTCTAAATCGGATTTTCACTAGAGTAACACAAAGTCTAGCATTGTTTTTCCACCTGAGGCATAATATTGCTAAATAAACTGCATGTGGTCAGAAGAGTATGCATTCTATATAGGAGAGTAATAATGATATTAATAGGTAAAAACTAATGAACCATATTTTCTTTCTTGCTTTCTCTTACCTAGCACAAAAAAGGTTTCATCCCTAAGGAAGATTGTTGGCACATTATCTATTGCAGTTGTTTTTGGAGTTACCTGGATTCTGGCATACTTTATGTTAATTAATAATGATGACATCAGGGTGATCTTCAGCTACATATTCTGCGTTTTCAACACTACTCAGGTATGATGTGAATTAGTCTAAAAGTAGCAGACCATACAGCAGTGGGGATGATACCACCCTGGACCAAAGTTTCCTCCTTTTAAAACTCCCGGAAGGTCATTGCTTAGTTACCTTTACCTACCTACCTACCTACCTACCTACCTTCCTTCCTTCCTTCCTTCCTTCCTTCTTTCTTTCTTTCTCTCTCTCTTTCTCTTCTCTCTCTCTCTTTCTTTCTTTTTTTTTTTTGAGGGATAGGGTCTCACTATGTTGCCTAGGCTAGATTTGAACTCCTAGGCTCCAGAAATCCTCCCACCTCAGCCTCCTGAGTAGCTGGTATTACAGGCACCTGCCACCGTGCCTAGAGAGATTCTATTTTTAATACACTTTGTGGGAAGAGAGAGGAAAGCTCCTTCTGACTTATCTATTATGATTTTTCCCTGGGCTGGAGATCATAGAATATAATTGTAATAGGGTTGAGCCACATGAGTCCCTCTTCTCTGAGTATGAGAGATTTTGTCAAGCAGTTGGCTTGGGGAACACCTATTTTTCTTTTCTACCATGCAACAGGTTCATGGTTGGTATAGTTAGACAATGTTGCAGTTATTGCTTGAATCCCTGTGGAGTTGGCTGAATTATTTCTTTCAATTCTTATTAATTTATTGAGACTAGTTTTATGGCCTAACATTTGTTCTACGTTGGTGAATAAAACATTTACCCTTGAAAAAAATATATATTTTGTAGTTGGATGTAGTGTTCTAAAAGTGTAAGTAAAGTCAAAGTGGTTGTTAGTGTTGTGCAGATTTTCTATCATTACCAATATTTTTGTCTGATTCTCTCAATTGCTGAAAGAGAAGTGTTAAAATCTCCACCTATGATTATGAATTTGTGTATTTCTTTCCTTAATTCTATCAAGTTTTGCTTCACTTATTTTGAGGTTCTACTATTAAATGCATATACATTTATGATTGTTATATCTTCTGGATGAATTGATGCTTTTATCATTTAGATAACAAAGTCTGTTTATCTATAATAATACTTTTTGTCATAAAGTGTACTTTTTCTGATATCTACCCTTCTCATGCATATTGGTTGCATTATGTGTATTTTTTCATCCTTTTACTTTCAATCTACCCTGCCTTCATATTTAAAGTATGTATCATGTAGACAGCAAATACATGAACCTTACCTTTTTATCCATTCTTGCAGTCTCTGTCTTTTGATTAGAGTGTTTAGTCCATTTAGATCTAATGTATTTATTGATAGGGTTAATTTGTGTCTACATTTTACTATTTGTTTCTGTGGCCACTCTATTTTTTATTCCTCTGTTCCTCATTTTTTGACTACATTCAAGTAAATTTAATATTATTAAGATTCAGTTTAAATTCATATACATGTTTTTAAGCTACAACACCTCTTTGCATTTTGGGGATCAATTTAGGGATACATTATATATGCTTCCTTAACTTTTCATAGTTAACATAGAGCTAATATTTTACCATTTCCAGTAAAATCTAAGAATCTTATAAGTCTACTTGCCATTCTCCTTCCCTTATGTTATAGTTTTCTTATGTATTGCACATATTATAAACCCCACAATGCAATGTTATTGTTTTTGCTTTAAATAGACCTATGATTTTAAGGATATTAAGAGAAAAGATTGTGTATATTCAGCCATATTTCTACCATTTCCAGTGTTCTTCATTACTTTTTGAAGATCTGAATTTCTGTCTGGTATAGTTTCCCTTCAGCCTAGAAATATTCCTTTAGAATGTCTTGTAATATATGTCTTATGGTGACAAATTCTTTGTTTTCTTTTATCTAAAATTTTCTTTATTTTGCTTTCATTCTTGAAGGATATTTTCACTGGATACAGAATTCTAGATTGACAGAGTTTGTTTTTCCTTTTAGCATTATGAAGTAATTTTACAAACTGGCTTCATTTTCTAATGAGATATCCTTAGTCTTTCATATTATTGTTCTACTGTATGTAATGTGTTTTCTTGGTTTGCTTTCAAGATTAACTCTTTATCTTTGATGTTTAGTATTTTGAGTATGATGTACTTAGGTATTATTTTCTTTGCATTTATTCTGCTTTGGATTGCTAAACTTCTAGAATCTATTAATTTATGTCATTCACCAAATTTGAGAATGTTTTCACCATTAGTTTTTCAAATAGTTTTTCTGCCCCAATTTTCTCTTCTTCTTTCTTTCTAGGAATCTAATTACATGTATATTAGACCATGTGATATTGCTCTGCATGTTCCTGAGTTCTGCTCATTTTCCTTATTCTTTCTTCTTGCTATTTATTAGATTGGATCATTCTAGTGATCTATGTATCCTCAAAATCATTTACTTTTTCTTCACTTATCTTCAATATGCTGTAAAGCTTATCCAGTGATTTTTATTTCAGATATTATACATTTTAAGTTTAAGAATTCTTATTTTTACAGGTTTTAATTCTGCTGATATTTCCAAACTTTTTACTCATTACAAGTATATTTTCCTTCACATTCTTAAGCATGTTATAATAACATTTTAAAATCTTTGCTAAATATAATATGTGGATATTTTCAGTCAATTTCTATTGATTGCTTTTTTCTATAGTACGAGTCATATCTTCATTGTGTGTAGTAATTTTGATTATTTTCTGGACATTATAACTAATGTAACAACTCTGCACTTTGTTATATTCTCACCAAGAGTGGGCTATCAGGCAATGAACTTAGCTGGAAGCTCTGTCTCTCCTTAGTGGACAGCTGCCATATCTGTTTAGTCCTTTTAGCCTTAGCTGAGCTCCTTAGAGTCTGCCCTATTCATATATAGTTTGGGGGTCAATAGTAAATTTGGGCAGAGTTTATAAACAAACTCTGAAGCTCCCCTTCTCTGCCTCCTCCATTAGATATTTTTCCTTACTCTCCAGCTGCTGTGGTTACCCTAAACCCTGTCCTCTGGTTCTTCAACCTAATAAGACTGAATACTTCAGCTCCAGGTTTATTCAACCTGAGTGGGACTGAACAGGGTCTGCCTTCAGGCAAAAAGATATTAAAAACAAAATGAAACAAAACAGGAAACCTACTGAGTGTTGGTCCCCTTTTCCAAGTGTAGACTCTCCTTCCAGTTTTAGACTGGTTTTGGTTGTCTTCCAATCTCTTTAGATAGGTTTTTAAAAATATTATATACAAAGTTTATAGTTGTTATCTGCAAGAGGGTTGATTTGATAGTAACAAATTTTCATGAAGTTGTTTTTGCAGTATAATTTTTTATAGGACTGAAGATGTTTTTGTTCTTTGAGTCTTATCTCAAGGATATAGGTAACCATAAACCTTTTTAAAAATTCCCTTTGCAGTTTGTTTTAAGATCTGAAAAGAAGTTTTATATTCTTTTTTTTTTTCATTTGGAAGTCAATCTGCAAAGCAGAACATGTAGAGTGAGGATTACGATCACCTGATTTTCATCATCATAAAAATAGTGATAAAGATAAACTAAAATGATAGATAAAAATAAAAAGTATGTTTGACTCCAGAGAATTTTGAGTTTTTAACCTTTGTTGTATGTATTATGTATGGGAAATGCCAAAACTTTAAAATATAACAAGGAAGAGAAAGGATCAAGATGGCCAACTAGACATAGGTATATGTACCCCTCCACAGAGAGGAACCAGAATAATAAGCAGATTCTCAAATTTTGAACAGATAATTTAGGAGCAAACACTAAAATTTACCAGGGAAGTAATGGGAAGTACCAAGAGTGGATAAGGAGAGGGTTTCAGGGCAACTTGCTCAGCTGGGAACTAGTTAAGAGCTAGGAGAAGCTCCTGAATGTGGGGAAACAGTAAGAGAGAAGCCCCTAGGGTTTCACTTGCTGAGATGAGCTTTTCTGATCTTGACTATAAGACAGCCCCCCTGAACCACACAGTTCTCAGGCCTAACATGGGAACTGCTTAGAAAACGCAGAGATGTTGTTCCAGAAAAGGAGCTCACATGGAATCCTACAGGCATCTGAGCCTAGAGCAGCTTGAGCCTGATGCCATCCCAAGAGCCTAGATACTGGGGAACCACAGGTGCACCTGCAGCCACTGTGCACCTGCAGGCTCTAAGGAGGAACAGATGAGCCCAGGCCCTCCCATGCAGCCTGAGAAGGTCCCCACCACCCCACTGTGGGCTGCTGTTAAGACCGAGACATGAATGGACAGCATTTTCCACAGTTTCTCACCCATGCTTCCTGCCTGGGTGGGCCCCCAGCCTTTCTGGTCACAGGTCTAAAGCACCATTTTGAGAATTTGACACAGGGAAGTGCCCCAGCCTCAAGCTGAATTGGGTTTGAAATGGCTGCATCCCTCACCTGGCTAGGGATTTGCAGCATGCATCTAGGACAGTGCCCACCATCCTGTAGCTGGCTGCTGTGGGATTGAGTCTCAAAGAACTGCACTCTCCACAGTTTCCGGACAGCCTGCCTGAGAAGGGCCCTGCCCTCTCTGGTCCTAGGCCCAGGAGGCCATTTTGTGAGTTTGAAGCTGGGTAGTTCCCCACTTTCAGGCTGAATTTGGGCTGATTCAGCTGCAATTGTCACCCAGCTGAGGAGGGATAGGAGAGCCCAAGCTTTCCAACACACAACTAGGACAATTCCCACCACCCTGCTATGGGATCCTGTGAGACTGAGATATGAGTGGACGGCACTTACCACAGTTTCTTGCTCATGATCCTTACCTACAAGGGGCCCTGCCCTCTTTGATGCAAGCCCACACCATTTTGAGAGTTTAACACTGAGTCATGGCCTGCCCTCTGGCCACGTTCAAGGTGACGTGACTGCAGCTACCACCTGGCTGGGAAGGGATGGGGGACCAAGCTCTCCTAAGCACACTTAGGACAGTACCTACTGCCATGTTACAGGCAGCTGTAGGACTAGTCTGCCCAATCCATTGCAGCTACCAATAACACCAACATGGACCACTTAGGTTCTAGTGGTGACTCCACCACTGCTACTGCTGCCTCCCACATCACACTAGCTACTCAGGGGCC